AACTTGCTTTGATCCACCGGAGTGCGCAGCCCTGCCCCCCTGGAGCGCTGCTTTACCGCGTAATATCCGAATTCGTGTTGTATCGGGTCGTGTTATATCGAGGTAGAGGTGTAATTAGTTTCTGAGTAAAGAAGAAATCTGCCACATCCTATTTGTATAATCAGATTGCCTCAAGGGGAAAGGAAGAGCGGGATAAATAGCTGGTGAATAAGATCAGGTGAATAAAATAAGTCTAGGAAAGGGGAATAAAATAATAAATTTGCCATTTGATAACATACTGGGCTTCAGTGTCGGTGGCAACAACATTGAAATGAGCAGATAGGAGGGACCAGATCCCGGTCATTGGATCTGAACTGTTCTATTCCTACCCAGCACTGGGGTCCCTGGTGGTGGTGGCGGCTAACAAGAGAACTCGCCAGGGCCACCAGAAGTTGACCTCAAAGGGCAAGGAGATTAAATGCCTTGTCCTGCTCAGCCAAAAGGCATATCTACGGTAAGCCTTCAGATGAGGTTTTCCAGTTATCAGGCAGGCCTAGTAAACTATGACCACATCAACTGGAGTGTGTTGTAATAATTTATTGACAAGATACCACAGGACTGCAGGGACAAGTTCCAGTTCCAGACGATCCTTGTGGAGGGGCGTGTGGTAGCTAGAACTGTGCTACCAGCAGCGCTGGATGCCACGGATATGGCTTCTGGGGCAATGGCAACAGCAATCACCAAGCAGTGCTCCTCCTGGCTGGTCTCAGCAGCCATCATTAGAGAACTGCAGGCAACAATTGAAGACTTATCCTTTGAAGGCTGCTCACTCTTTCACGAGAGGAGACATGAGGCAATGAAGTCCCTGCAAGACTCTACATCCAGCCTCAGATCATTGGGGATGTATGCCACAGCCTCCCAAAGGAGGCACTTCAGGTTCCACCCTTATCAGCGGCACCAACAGCCGTTCTCACATTTCACACAGGCCGAGCCACCCAGCTGCAGGCAGAGATCCTCAGGGAGGAATCCCGCTACAGGATCTACTTCCCAGTCGCACCACTCTGCATCGGTGCTGACCGGGCAGCAGGTTGGACATCGTGTCTGTGGACAGCACACCACTCTGCCTGTGATTCAAGACCTCCCCTCTATTTAGCAACCATCTGGTGCCTTCCACCAGGCCTGGTCTAGTATCACTTCAGTATCACTGGGCCCTGGAGGTGGTCCAGAGAGCTTAGACCATTGTGTTTCTCTTCCTTCCCGCTAACCATCCCTCCTCCACATCCCCATTCAGGGACTCTTCCCAAGAATTTGCTTTTACCGGAGATGCAGACCATCCTCCCTTTCAGTGCTATAGAGAACATTCCCTCTCAGTAGAGGGTTCTATTCACCTTACTTTCTTAGCCCTAAGTAAACTGGCTTGAGGGTGGGGGAGGGGGCTTTGAACAATACTGGACCCCTATGAGGAGTGAACATCTGTCAAGAAGCTCAGGTTCAAGTCGGTTTCCCTTGCATCCATCATTTCTCTCCTTGGATCAGAAAACCTGGTATGCTGCTCTTGACCTCAAGGATATGTACTTCCACACTGCGATTCACCAAGCGCACAGGCACTTTCAGAGGATTGTGTTAGACCACAGCCACTACTGATGCCAGGTGTTGCCCTTCAGGCCGCTCTCGAACACTCAGCATATCATGGCAGCGTTTACTTCTGTTACCCTGCACGAAAGGCCCTGCTTCTGTCAGTTCCACCCACCATCCCTGCTACTTCGGAGTCTGGATGTCACGGGTGGTAGTGAAGGAACTAGGTGCGGCAGGGCGGTTCCATGGTTAGGCGAGGGAGGCAGAGACAAATGGGCCACCCTGAGGAATACAGCTGACTAGAAAATTCTCTGTTGCATGTGCACTGGAAGTGCATTTACTAACCGTGGAATATGTATAGCGAGTACACATCTCAAAGAACATCAGTTACTATACAGGTAAGTAACCTCCTTTTTTCAGATATCGAAGTAGGCTGACTGGTCTGTAATTCCCCAGGACCTCTTTGTTCCCGTTTTTGCCCTCCTCCAGTTCTCTGGGACCTCACCCATCCTCCATGAATCCTCAAAGATAATGGCTGTTAAAGGTTCGTGAAGTCCAAAGCAGACTTTGAAGAGCTACAATGGGATCTCTCAAGCTAGGTGACTGGGTAACCAAATGGCAGATCAAATTCAATGTTGATAAATGCAAAGTAATGCACATTGGAAAACATAATCCCAACTATACATATAAAATGATGGGGTCTTTACCACTCAACAGAGAGAGAACTTGGAGTCATTGTGGATAGTTCTTTGAAAACATCCACTCAGTGTGCAGCGGCAATCCAAAAAAACCTGAACAGAATGTTGGGAATCATTAAGAAAGGGATAGATAATAAGACAGAAAATACCATATTGCCTCTATATAAATCCATGGTGCGTCCACATCTTGACTATTGCGTGCAGATGTGGTCGCCCCATCTCAAAAAAACTATATTGGAATTGGAAAAGGTTCAGTAAAGGGCAACAAAAATGATTAGGGGTATGGAACAGCTTCTATATGAGGAGAGATTAATAAGACTGGGACTTTTCAGCTTGGAAGAGAGACGACCCAGGAGGGATATGATTGAGGTCTATAAAATCATGACTGGTGTGGAGAAAGTAAATAAGGAAGTGTTATTTACTCCATCTCATAACACAAGAACTAGAGGTTACCAAATGAAATTAATAGGCAGCAGGTTTAAAGCAAAAAAAAGGAAGTATTTCTTCACACAACGCAGTCAACTTGTGGAACTCTTTGCCAGAGGATGTTGTGAAGGCCAAGACTCTAACAGGGTTCAAAAAAGAAGGAGAGAAGTCCATGGAGGATATGTCCATCAATGGCTATTAGCCAGGATGGGCAGGGATGGTGTCCCTAGCCTCTGTTTGCCAGAAGCTGGGAATGGGCGACAGGGGATGGATCACTTGATGATTCCCTGTTCTGTTCATTCCCTCTGGGGCACCTGGCATTGGCCACTGTCGGAAGACAGGATACTGGGCTAGAAGGACCTTTGGTCTGACCCAGTCTGGTCGTTCTTATGTAATGGTTCCGAGATTGCTTCAGCTCTTTTCGTAAGTATCCTGTGGTAAATTTAATCAGACCCTGCTGACTTGTATGTAGCTAATTTACTTAAATATTTTTTAACCTGCTCTTTGTCTATTTTGGCTTATGTTTCTTCCCCCTTATTGTTAATATTGTGTCAAGTATCTGGGCACAATTTACTTTTTTAATGAAGGCGGAAGTAAAATAGGTGTTAAACAACTTAGCCTTCAGGTTCATCCGTTATTAGTTCTCCTTCCCCACTAAGTAAAAGACTAACCTACATTTTCCTTTGTCTTTCTCTTTGTCCTAATCTGTTTATAAAACCTCTTCTCATTGCCTTTTACGTTCCCATCTAGGTGTAACTGATTTTGTAGCTTAGCCTTTCTGATTTTGTTCCTATATGCTTGTAATATTCTTTTGCACTCCTTAGTAATTTCTCTGTGTTTCCACTTTTTTTTTTAGGATTCCTTTTTGATTTTTCAGGTTATTAAGGAGCTGCCGGTGAATCCATATTGGCCTCTTACTATCTGTCCTTCCCATCGGCATAGTTTGCTGTTGTGCCTTTAATATTGTCTCTCTGAGAATCTGACAGCTCTCTTGAACTTCTACCTTACCTACCAGTTCTCAGAGTTTGTTAAAGTCAGTTTTTTTGAAGTCCTTTGTTCTTATTCTGCTGCTCTCACTCCTTTCTTTCCTTAATTCATGAAATCTATTGTTTTATGGTCTCTTTCACCCAAATTGCCGTCAACCTTCAGATTGGTAACCAATCCTTCCTTGTTAGTCAGAATCAAGTCTAAAATGTCTGTGCCCCTGTCAAGGCTGTATCCCCACTTTGAACTTTAGGGTACAAATGTAAGGGCCTGCATGAAAACCTCTAAGCTTAACTACCAGCTTAGCTTTGGTCCCGCTGCCACCATCTCAAGAATCCCCTCCCTGGGAAGCCTTGAGAACCCTTTCACCAATTCCCTGGTGAACACAGATCCAAACCCCCTTGGATCTTAAAACAAGGAGAAATCAATCTGGTTCTTAAAAAAGAAGGCTTTTAATTAAAGAAAAAGGTAAAAATCATCTCTGTAAAATCAGTATGGAAAATACTTTACAGGGTAATCAAACTTAAAGAGCTCAGAGGACCCCCCTCTGTCTTAGGTTACAAGTACAGCAAAACAAAGATAAACACTCTAGTAAAAGGTACATTTACAAGTTGAGAAAACAAAGTAAATCTAAGACGCCTTGCCTGTCTTTTTACTTACAAGTTTGAAATAGGAGAGACTTGTTTAGAAACATGGGGAGAACCTGGATTGATGTCTGGTCCCTCTCAGTCCCAAGAGCGAACCACCCCTTCAAACAAGAGCACACACAAAAGCCTTTCCCCCCCCCAAGATTTGAAAGTATCTTGCCCCCTTATTGGTCCTTCGGGTCAGGTGTCAGCCAGGTTACCCGAGCCTCTTAACCCTTTACAGGTAAAAGGATTTGGAGTCTCTGTACACAGAGAGCTGTTACCCTTCCCTTTATAGTTATGACAGCCCCTGGTTACGTCCTCCACCTTCTGAAACAAAAAGTAATACAACTCTATGGATTAATTGTGTAACATGACTGGTTTGTACAACTTGGTTTAAATGTGAAACTCATAAACATTATTAACTGGATTGTGCCAACTAGTCTCATTTAGCAATGTCTACATAATGCCATGTTCCTGGTGCTGTGATGTTCAGTTCATTTTCATTTCTCCCCGTTTTCTTAGTCTGGGCCGTTTATAATAGGCCAAAGTTTTGCTTCAAACCAGGGTATGATATGGGACTTGATTTCAATTCAAAGGAATCAATTTAAAGTTTCATCTATTTATTTAACTCTAAATGCTGCCTTCCCCGGGCACTGAGCTGATTCACAAACTAAATTTTTGGCATTTTTTTGTATTTATTTTCTTTAAGCTGCAACAAATAGTTCAGTCCCAGATATCTGTGCCACTTGCCATGCTAACGCCATGTGTCAGCAAAAAGAAGGCAAAAACGTCTGCATCTGTAACTATGGATTTGTGGGTAATGGGAGGACTCATTGTCAAGGTAGGCTATGATTTATGAATGTGTGCAATTGCTAACAATCCACAGTCTGTTACTGCGCAGCAAGCCAGGGTATAAATCTACAATACTCTAGCCTGCCCCACACTAAGGCCTGGTCTACACTGGAGGGAGGATTGATCTAAGTTACGCAACTTCAGCTACATGAATAACGTAGCTGAAGTCGACGTACTTATATCTACTTACCGCGGTGTCTTCAATGTGGTAAGTTGACAGCTGACGCTCTCCCATCGATTCCGCCTACTCCTCTCGCTCCGTTGGAGTACCAGAGTCGACAGGAGAGCACTCGGCGGTTGATTTATTGTGTCTAGACTAGCCACGATAAATTAACCCCCATTGGATCGATCGCTGCTCGTCGATCCAACGGGTAATGTAGACATGCCCTAAGTGGTCGGGTGGACTCTGCTACAAGGCACTAAATGTTCTGCAGTGTACTTTGGCATACTGCTATGCAGTCAAAGTGCACTGGGAAACTTTCTGTGTGTGGCAGCATGGGCTACAAGGCCAGTTAACGTGCAGCAGGCTAAAGCGCTATAGGTTTAATCTCTGGGTTGCCAAACATGAACAAACAATGTAGACAAGTCCTTACCAAAATATCTGGTCCTGGATGATGACACCAAATTCTTAGAATAAGACCTATGTTCATACCTGACAGTCACTCCAAAACCAAGAATGCCGACAGATTCTTTTTTCAAAACTGTTAACAATGGCAGGGGTGGGGAACGTTGGGTTGGATTTCATCAATTGCATTTAAAAGAAGTGATGATTTGTAGCCAGTAAACTATCGAAACAAATACTGGTGATAGTGAGTTTACCTTGTTTTTTAAATTCTAAGACGTTTGACTTAGAGACTGTCAACTTAAACTTGATCCAAAATCTGTTTTGAAAAAAAAAAATTTTTTTCACAGAACCTAAAGACATTATAAATGTTTACATGATTGTTTTAAAAAAATATAATTTCAGTGGAAATTTAAAAACAAATATTCCCATTCATCATTAGCATCCCAATCATTACTTCACTGAGAACCAGAAAATGAAACTGACTATAAACAAAATTGAGATGGATTTTACAGATTTTTCCAGTTCTAATATTCATTGGTAGTGTTAATAACATATATTATTTGTTTCCAATATATAATTATTAAGTTGGCATTGTTTCTTTAATATTTGCAGTGTTGTTGTAGCTGCGTTGGTCCCAGGACGTTAGAGAGACAAGGTAGGTAGGATAATATCTTTTATTGGACCAACTTCTGCTGGTGAAGGAGACAAGCTTTTGAGCTGTACAGATCTGAAGAAGAGCTCTGTGCAGCTCGAAAGCTTGTCTCTTTCCACAACAGAAGTTGGGCCAATAAAAGATATTACCTTGCCCACCTTTGCTCCCTTTTACTATTGTGTATCACACGTGGATGGAGCAGTAAGTGAACTGGTGACGTCCAGTGACAATGACGATAGCCTGTATTAGAACAACAGTTGCAAAGTACTGTAGCTGACAGGTGATTATTTACAGAGTTAACAAATTAGAAAAAAACATGGTCAGGAAAAGTCTGACTGCTTAACAATGACAGATTTGATTTGATTTTTAATCTCTGACGTGTTTTGAATATACCAACAGATAAAGATGAATGCCAGATTGGAGCGAGTAAGATCTGTGGCGAGCATACATCATGTCACAATACACATGGAAGTTTTTACTGCATTTGTCTTGAAGGATACCATCCCTCTAACAACAACAAGACATTTATCCCCAATGATGGCACGTATTGTACAGGTACATACAACATTTAGGCTCACATGCTAGGGATCTGGGACTTCATAATCTATTTTCTGTGACAAACATGGCTGTTCCTTTACAATCACATTAAGATTTTATTTTCGAAAGTACATAAAAGCAATTATTGGACACCTGCACCTAAGGTACATCCCAAACTTGCAAACACTTGCTACCGTATCTAGCTCTCATTACTGCAAGTTAGTCCCATTATGTTTTCTGCTGTCTTCCACTCATTCTTGTTCTGTTAATATGAATTATTGGTATAAAGCTCAGTTTGTACAAAAGCCTTGCTGGCAAAATGACACCAGAAATTAAGACAATAGGATGATATTCCTTCTTTCCACTTCCCTATTTTTCCTTGCATGTCAGTTTATTAATTTTTTGTTTACTGTGGAATATTCTCCTTCAACTGACAGGTGTACTTCCATGGCACAATGACTGTTCAGGTTTAATTGATCAAAAATACAGATACTACTGGGTATTTCCTGGTCAGTAGCATGAAGTAGACTGGAGACGATAATGTCTGTTTGCCATGTATTAACTAAAAACTGATAGTAAAGTTATAGATTTTTGTGTGTAAGGGCCCAATCGTCTATGGTGCTGAGGACCTCATGGAAGTTGATAAGCCCCTGCATCTCCCAGTGAGACTAGCGGGAGTTGAGGGTGCTTTACACCTTCTAGGATACGCTTGGTACATTGCAGGATTGGGCCCTACAAATAAAACCACTTTAAAAGATTGTAACGTTTGATCTGGGTTTCTAGATATAGATGAGTGCCAGCTGTCAGGTCTGTGTGGTGTCGGGGGACAATGTGTGAACACTGTTGGAAGTTACCACTGCTACTGTATGGAAGGATATAGACCAGAAAATGGAACAGAATTTTTTCATCCATCTGGAAATACTGTTTCGTGCAAAGGTGAGAGCCTATGGATGTTATTCATGCTAACAGATACAATCAGATCCGTCACGATATCATGGTTCCTGCACTGATCTACAGTTCTGAGTTTCCTGGGTTGTAGCCCTCTATGTGTTACCTTTTTGTTTTTGCAAATTCAACATGTCTCATTGATGCTTGGATGATAAGGTTGACAATGGCTATAGAGCACTATAGGCTCTCACCAGTGGTTTGAGTGTGCAAGGTCGGTGAAGTGAAATATGCCAGGAAGGTTATATACACCTCTACCTCAATATAACGCTGTCCTCGGGAGCCAAAAAATCTTACCGTGTTATAGGTGTAACCGCGTTATATTGAACCTGCGTTGATCCACCGGAGTGCGCAGCCCTGCCTCCCTGGAGCACTGCTTTACCGCGTTATATCTGAATTCGTGTTGTATCGGGTCGCGTTATATCGAGGTAGAGGTGTAGTTAGTTTCTGAGTAAAGAAGAAATCTGCCACATCCTATTTTCATAATCAGATTGCCTCAAGGGGAAAGGAAGAGCGGGATAAATAGCTGGTGAATAAGATCAGGTGAATAAAATAAGTCTAGGAAAGAGGAATAAAATAATAAATTAGCCATTTGATAACGTACTGTGCTGTATGCAAGAATAAACGACTCTGGGTTTATTTGGTTTCTTTTGGCCATAAAAAGAAATTAATCTGAATTTGAAATAAATACTTCGTCTTCCCTCTTCTTCTTTTCTCCAGTATCAATTAAAATTGCAGCTCCATATCTGAGAGACACACAACACTAGAAATCCTCAATATAGCTGTCATGCACACATGTATCCAAGGTGAAGTGAACAGCTAGTGATTATGGAACTAACTTGCCACTACCTAGTTCTCCCATTTACATAGTATTGCAACAGTTTGGCAGCTAAGGATACATTTGTAGTATATTGAGTTAGGCTGAAATTTCCTACTTGAGAGTTTCAAGTTAGGCACTTCAATAAGTTGCCTAATTTTCAGAGGTGCTGATCACCTGCATATCTCATTGACGTCACTGGAACCCTGTCTGAATAACTTAAATAAATTAATTGACTATATAACTTTTTTTTTAAAGCAGTATATATATTCCTCATATTCTAATAGTAGACTCTCTCACAGGAAAGCAGGGTCACTCAGAAGACTGTAACAAAGAAATATAACCATTACAGGCAGGTTGGGCCAATGAGCTTTCATTGAAGGGCATGTCATTTAATTTCAGCCTTTCTACAATAAAGTTTCCACCCTTAACAAATGCTGCTTCCTCTGTCACATGCCTGGGAAACCACAGCCGCTCAGTACTTCTATTTTTGTGGTCGTTTATTCCTTGGTGGAGGTTTAATACTTGCTGTGGCAAAATTAAAAACATAAATCAACCAGGTATATTGTGGACCTGAAATTTCTACCCCCACCCCCCAAGGATAGTTCTGTTATCTCTACAACAAAACCAACCTCCAGACAAGGTTCAATGATTGGAAGTTGCAGCTGGGCAAATTCAGACTAGAAACAAGGTGCAATTTTTAACAGTGAGGGTAGCTAACTATTGAAACAATTTACCAAGGGTTATCGTGGATTCTCCGTTGCTGGAAACTTATAAATTGGGGTTGGATGTTTTATCTAAAAGCTATGCTGTAGTTCAAACAGGAATTATTTCAGGCAAGTTCCACCGTTATACAGGAAGTCAGACTCGATGATCGCGGTGGTCCCTTCTGACCTTCAAGTCTGTGTACCACCCAGTACCTCCAGTACCTCACTCGTGGCATTGTTGATGGCCCAAAACCTGCATTCATAAAGACACATCTCAATACCTGAATCAGGGCTTTCCTATTCTGTGGCCCAGCCATCCTGTTAACCCCAGCTTCCTTTTCCTCCTCTACTGATACCTCAGGTTCCACACCATCCTCAAGATTCACTGGTTCTGTGGTGCTAGTGTCCGGTTCAGCTTCTCAAAAAAGGGACAGAGATGTTGATTGAGTTCTTCACTTCTTGTGCGGCACCCGTTAATTTGTACCTTGATTCTGAAGTTTGCAAGGCAATGAAGGGGCTACTGGTAAACCTGATTACCTCTGCCCAAATTTATATTATTCTGAATGCTTTCCTCACTCCAGATGCCCAACAGGGTCTTGATCTCCTCTTGAGACTGTGCACATCGGATTTCTTCCACCGACTTTTCCCCTGAAAAGTGATAACTAACTAGGGCTCATTTCAGGAAATGGAAGCATGACCATCAGAGGAAATTCAAGGTTTACTGACCCACCCTGTTACTGTGGTAGTTGTAATTGTGTAATACAACATGCGCTCCTTAGTACTCAGATACCACATTCTGATCTAACAAAATAGTAAGAGACTACAGATGTCCGGATTCATAAGTGGAATAACTTGGAAAATAGAGTGAAACCAGCAAACCAGCTTAAAATGACAATCCATGGCCCCAGGCAGATTGTTTTTTAAATCTATGCTTTTGCTGCAATTGTGTTCTCTTTTGTTTGCCTGCAGAAATTAGCTGTGGCTACCCTCTAGAGATCACGCATGGACACATCATAGGGAACTACACCTCTGTGCTGGGGAGTGAAGTTCATTATGAGTGTGAAGAAGGGTTTTACAGCGAAGGGGGAAACATATCTGTTTGCACCAAA